CCAATCTTAAGCAACCTAACCCAGCCCCTCATAACCTAACCTAACCTAACTGTGCCGATAACTATCTGAGCTATAACTTGCTTGGAATGAGAGTTGTGAACTGTTTTAATAACCTGCCCGAGAGAGAGAGTTGTGAGCACATCCAAGACCAGACTTGACTAACACAGGTATACGTTCAGACAAGTCTATTCAGGAGTCCATACATGTACAGTACTTGTCAACAACGTCACACACACACACACACACACACACACACACACACACTATTAATAAACCGTTTATTATTATTATTACAACATACACACACACACTATTAATAAATGTTTATTATTATTATTATTATTACACACACACACACTAATAATAAACACACACACACACACACACACACACACACTATAATAAACGTTTATTATTATTATTACACACACACACTATTAATAAACCGTTTATTATTATTATTACACACACACACACACCAATAATAAAACCGTTTATTATTATTATTATTACACACACACACACACATACACACACGCACACACACACAGGTAGACTGAAAGGAGGATTACTGCTGCATAACTCACACAGTCAACACACCTACACCCCCGGTGACCTGGACCCCGCTACAACACCCGTTATTTGCCTCCTACCAACGGATGTCCAGTATAACGGGTGTGGACGCGCGCCACCACACCTCCTCCACCTCACACACACGCCCTCGTCTCTCCCTACACGCCCCTTACTTCACCTAACTAAATTTAATCTTACTTAACCTAGCTTAACGTAATCTAACTTAACCTAACTTGGCTTAACGCAATTTAATCTAACCTAACGTGACCTCATCTAATCTAACCTAACCTAACCTTAATTAACCTAGCTTATGTAATCTAACTTAACCTAACTTGAATTAACCTAACCTAATGTGACCTTATCTAACCTAACCTATCTTAGTATAACATCACAAGAGATAATTGCCTTGTTATGGTCGTGTGTATGACAGTAACTACTAGTCTCATTAACCACAAGTTTCACACAGATAAATCACATAATTAATAATCATAATAAACCAACAAACTAATCATGAACGTAAAACCCTTTCCTGTTCACTCATTACGATACGATAGTTTGGGACGCGACGACTGCCAGTTCTCAGGGGCCATTTCCTTTCCTACTTGGCGGACGTATGAAGTGTAAATCTAAACCCCTTTAACATAATTCCCTTTGGTTATTATCACCTCTAACCCCTTTAAAGCCATCTTAGGGGAGGTCATAACACCATGTGCCATATTTAATGATGACAGGCTCAAATTTTGGTGGTAGAAGTGGTGTTAGTTTTGTGCGTGGCCGAACGACCAGACACACCGGAAATGCCAACAGCGCTACCGGACGTCGTAACACTCACACACACACACACACACAGAGTTGCATTTATGGTACACATGTAGTTATAATACAGACACAACTTTCTGCTACAGACTTTCTCACATATTAGTCAGGTGCTGTGGTGAACAAAGCGACCTTCATCATCCCACACCTTCAAGTGACTCGTACACACACACACACAAGTCTTACCTATCGCTAATGAACGTTGAAGGTTAACTCATCAGTGTAAACTCTATACAGGTTAAACTTACAAGAAACTGATAGATAATGGATCACGTGAAGAATCCCCCTCTTGCATATTTCACCTAACCTTACTTAACCTAGCTTAACAAGTATGTGTGAATATTTCTACTTATTGTCACTTTCTGCATTTGTCTTGCATTCTTCCTTACCCCCTTCGTTTATTGGCGTTTCTAAGCCCCTTGTTCCACCCCACACAAGAATGGGAGAATATTAAAGACAATAAAATGAAACAGAAGAGGACTCCATCTTTAGGAACACCTCCATTGTACCAAATACCCGATATACACAATGCCCTATACTCGTCTCACTACTCAGTATACACCTCAGAGTATACTGTATGACCGTGTATGATGTAAGATATACACACAAACAGTAAACAGTGTGTCATACTTCCTTTGTATATTAATGATAAGGTTAAATTTAGGTTAAGGTTGAGTTAGTAAGTTATATATTAATGTGGTTAGGATAAACAAATACAAGTTACTGATGTATTTACACCCGGATTCTACTTAAACTGTTGTTGCACTTATAAAAGGACCTCGGTATATCTTATACGTTTCTTAAGTATGTAACCAATACTTAGCCTTCTACTTTTACGTTACAATCATCACTTATAAACATTATTTTAAGTTGATAAATTAACCTTAAGGTAAATGGTGGGTCGTAGAGCGAAATTTTCTTAACTGGCAACTGTCCTTCCAGCTCCTGGTGGCGGCTCTGGGAATTACACAGCGTGACGTCACCGCCAGGGAAATCCCCGTTTGAGATCCCCAGTCTTGGTTGTATAGTGAACAGTCTGTCTCTTTCTCTGTCTCTCTCTCTCTTTCTCTGTCTGTCTGTCACTCTCTCCCTGTGAGTTACTTACCACTACCAACAGTGAGTTACTTACCACTACCAACAGTGAGTTACTTACCACTACCAACAGTGAGTTACTTACCACTACCAACAGTGAGTTACTTACCACTACCAACAGTGAGTTACTTAACACCACCATCAGTGAGTTACTTAACACTACCTTCACAATATCAAGTAACACACCAGCTCTCACAATAAAGTATTAAGTTACTTCACAGGCCAAAATATTACTAAACGTTTATGTTATGTGAAAAAAAATATTACAAACTACAGAAAAACTACTTTGGACAAATACTAATAATATTTTGGTGTGTCTTTGGTGGAAATAATTATGTAAAGTAATTTCTCTTGATGCAATTTTACTTAAATTATAATTATTATCAGATATTTCTTAAGCTTTATCATTCAAAATAAAATGAATGCAAAATAAAATACAGAATTCGCACATTTTTAAACAATACAAAATATTCTGTAACATAAGATCAGTTACATAACCCGTAAAAGGTCGAATTTCTCACCTACTGTAACACCAACCTGATATATGTACACAACTAACATATTTGCGTTACATATGACGTCACATACATATTCGTAATTCTACTATTTCTCGTAAGTTTATCATTTCTCGTAAGTTAATTATTTCTCGTAAGTTAATTATTTCTCGTAAGTTAATTATTTCTCGTAAGTTAATTTTTTCTCGTAAGTTTATTTCTCGTAAGTTTGTAATGATGCCCTTAATTGATTGACTTAAGATAAAACAAAATATGACATCAAAGTTACGCTGAGACTCTACCTTAACTAGAGGATATATCCAGCTTTTTCCCTTTGTCTGTATGGTTAGGATAGGTTAGTTTTTTGTTTGATTTTTTACGGGGATTAGCCCACCCGGGCACAGGTCACTGACCCACATCGGGGCCTGGGGGGCGAAAATGTTTGTGTAAATGAGGCAGAAAGTCAGATCAGCAACCTGGGACTTGGTCAATTTTTGTAATGCCATATGGCAGCAGGGTCTACCATTAGGCAGTACATCATGCTTCTAATGTCTTCCCAGGCGGTAGTACCTCCCTGTTTGGTCGCTGCGTACTACCTAAGGGTTAGGTTAGGTTATGCGTATTAGGACTGGGGCCTATTAGGACTGGGCCCATTAAGATTTGAGTCCATTAGGATTGAGGCCTGTTAGGTCTTAGGCCCATTTAGACTATGGCCTACTACTTTTGGGACCCATTACCATTTGGGTCAATTAATACACCCTGAGTTAACGAGCTGCATGACCCAGTGTCGAGGAATAGTCCGAGTAGACCGGACAACTCGCCAACTGCACTGGCTAACCATTACCCCGGACTACAATCTGCAAATCGATTAACTTCCAGGTCCCCAATTACTGCTGGGTAGACAGAGACAAATGACGTAAAGAAACTTACCCATAGTTTCACCCTGCCCGAGGAACGAACCCGGGTCGGCTGGCTTGCGAGGCGAACATGCTGACCATTACACCATGTGTGTGGGCCATGAGCGACTATACTGTTGTCTTTATCAAACTCAATGCCAGGCACATGAGGTGTCAGCCCCCAGGACCTGTTACTTGGCGACGTATACAAATCCTAGCTATCCCTAGGTGAAGTATTATCTCCCTAGCTGCTCCTAGGTGAAGTATTATCTCCCTAGCTGCTCCTAGGTGAAGTATTATCTCCCTAGCTGCTCCTAGGTGAAGTGTTCTCTCCCTAGGCAAGTCCCCTCTATGGCCACAAGTTAACCCAAACTTTGGTGTTTCTGAACCATAGAATAATGTGATCAGGTTCTCCCACGGTAAAGTATAGTGACTTTACCTCTTAAGTATAATGATTTAACCCCTTGAGTATGATGATTTAATCCCTTGAATATGATGATTTAACCCCTTGAGTATGATGATTTAACCCTTTGAGTATGATGACTTAACCCCTTGAGTATGATGACTTAACCCCTTGAGTATGATGACTTAACCCTTTGAGTATGATGATTTAACCCCTTGAGTATGGATTTAACCCCTTGAGTATGATGATTTAACCCCTTAAGTATGATGATTTAACCCTTTGAGTATGATGATTTAACCCCTTGAGTATGGATTTAACCCCTTGAGTATGATGATTTAACCCCTTGAGTATGATGACTTAACACCTTGAGTATGATGACAACCCCTTGAGTATGATGACTTAACCCCTTGAGTATGATGATTTAACCCCTTGAGTGTGATGACTTAACCCCTTGAGTATGATGATTTAACCCCTTGATTAATCATGACATTCAAGAGGGTCGTACTGAGGAGGAAGAGGAAGTGAGAGATGATGAGATAGAGAGACAAGAGAGACAGGAAGATAGGAGAGAATGAGAGGCAAAAAGAGAAACAGAGAGAGAGAGAGAGAGGAGACAGACAGGCAGACTTCACAAAACAGAGAGCGAGAGAGAGAGCGAGAGAGAGAATCACAATACTCCACAAAACACAACATAAATTTTTGGTTCCAGAATAAAAACACAAAAACTCGACACTTGATTTTTTTATTGCTCCTTATTTTTGACATTACTTACATATATTTACATATAATAAATATATACACAATATATCTATATAAATCACACACCATTTGCCTCATCATAAAGCCATATTACTGCCGAGAGTTTATCTATTTCATTTAATATCTTTGTTATCTTTTATTATTGAAAATATCTTTGGCGTTGTTGTTATTGTTGTTCATTCACAGCTTTATAGAACAAGCGGCGTGTTATATAAGTACTGTAGGTGTGACGCTGCACGGCCAACACGGTGCACCATCACACGCTGGTCTAATGGATTAATTTATTTCTCTTATATCGTTCATTACCATAACCGTTTGGTCGTCCAGGGTGAGGAAGATCACAGCTAATTATGGTGGGTGAGGGGCTACCATAGTCCCCCCACCAGGTGTGAGGGGCTACCATAGTCTCCCCACCAGGTGTGAGGGGCTACCATAGTCTCCTAACACGAGTGAGGGGCTACCATAGTCTCCTAACACGAGTGAGGGGCTCATAGTCTCCTAACACAGTGAGGGCTACCATAGTCCCCCCACTACTTGTAAGGGCTACCAGTCTCCCACCAGGTGTGAGGGCTACCATAGTCCTCCACCACGAGTGGGGCTACCATAGTCTCCAACACGGTGAGGGGCTACCATAGTCCCCACCAGGTGTGGGGGCTACCATAGTCTCTAACACGAGTGAGGGGCTACCATAGTCCCCCACTACTTGTAGGTTACCATAGTCTCCCACCAGTGTGAGGGGCTACCATAGTCCTCCACCACGAGTGAGGGGCTACCATAGTCCCCACCAGGTGTGAGGGGCTACCATAGTCCACCAAGTGTGGGCGGGGTGTCACGCCCATCACCACCACCCATCAAGTGAAGCCGGCCAGCACCCGGTCTACTCTTCTTGAGCCTTGTCGCCCACTTTCTCACTGTGGCCTACACCTGAAGCCTACACCTACACCTGCGGCCTACACCTGCGGTCTACACCCTCATATTGTCAAGTTCCTCATCTGGAGAAACCCACACCCTGGTGTTGTGTGTGTGTGTGTTTTACTACTGACGGTATCCTTGTGGTAGTGTGTGTGTGTGTGTGTGTGTGTGTGTGGGGGTCGGCCAGGCCCCTCGCGTGCCGTGTCCTGTGTTAATCAATACTGTGGGGTGAGGCTGGCCCATCCCCCACCATCGTTTTACCAACCCATTAATAATTGAATATATGTACTCTACTTCCCTCCCCGCCGCCCTCACCCTTACGTGGGCGGGGGTGGGTGGGTGGGGGGGGGGGGCACGGGGGGATAGTGGTAGCACGAGGAGGTAGTGTGGGCACATAGTGGTGGTAATGTGGGCAGGTGTTCAGGTATAATGAAAGGTGATTGAGAGTTACTTGGCATTTATAATAAGATATAAAGACATATGTACTGTACCAGGACCTAAGAATACAGGTGTACCCAGGTGTTGATATACAGGTGAGGCAGCATCAGGTAAGGCCATAGTGATACAGTGGGTGTTACAAAATGAGTTACAAAGAATCTAAAACACTGCTGGTCTCTCTCTCTCTCTCTCTCTCTCTACTGTAACGACTGAGCATGTCTGTATCACAAGAAATATCCTAAGAGGTTTGAGAATTTGAGTGTAGACCACAACCCAAGTCATATAATGTATCTATAAATATATATCACTTAGCGTACACTTAAGGGGGGGTTACCTTAAGTGGTCACAGCCGATCTGAATATTAATCTAACTAATAATCATTTATGTTAAGGCAGTGCCATTGTACTTTTAACACACGTGTCACCTCCTAGTTTGAGAGCTGTCGGCCGCTGGGGTTGGCTGGCTTCACTGATACATCTCTTTTTTATCATAATTTTTTTTTCGATAATCTACAAGTGTGGCTTTTGTTTTGACACTTCAGGTGGGCGTGTGGGCGTAGTGGGTGTATATGTGTGTGTGTGTAGGTGTTGGGTTAGGTAACCACCCATACACACATACACGCCGCCCATATTCCCCCGCCCACAACTCATATACAAATACTCACACAGACAACAAAATATATTCAATTTTTTTTTATAGAATATTAATTGTCTTGCAAGTTTTAATAAATGTCGTAAGTCATAAATTATTAATAATCTTGATACATTTAATTCAAAAGAAAAAAATATATATATATGACTTATTAAAACATTTTTGGATATTAACTTTCTTTTGAGAAATAAGGAAGACATTATGAAGTTACTAAATTGTGACGTGTTGTGTTAGTCAGGTGTGTGAGACAGATGTGTTGTGTTAGTCAGGTATGTAGTGTAAGACAGGTGTGTTGTGTTAGTTGTGTAGTGTAAGACAGGTGTGTAGTGTTAGTCAGGTGTGTAGTATAAGACAGGTGTGTACTGTTAGTCAGTTGTGTGAGACAGGTGTTTACTAGTGAGTAGTGTTAGTCAAATTTTGAGGCAGTTGTTTACATGTGTGTGTGTGTGTGTGTGTGTGTGTGTGTGTGTGTGTGTGTGTGTGTGTGTGTGTTGCTGTCTATGGGCATCACCACGACTAGAAATCAATGAGTCATTCTACATTTGTAAAGATAACCAGAGATCAAAAAACATGCAGGAACTGAAGCTTGACCAGGCCACCATTGACAAGGCCATCTCTAGGTATCTCAGTATCCAAAGGGGCCATCTATCTCTTTATGATTGACAAGGCCATCTCTAAATATCTCAGTACCCAAAAAGGCCATCTCTCTATCTCTTTATGATATACAAGGCTATTTCTCTATCTCAATATCCAAAAAAGGCCATCTCTAAGTATCTCAATATCCAAAGGGGCCATCTCTCTATCTCAATATCTATAAAGGCCATCTCTAAATATCTCAGTACCCAAAAAGGCCATCTCTCTATCTCTTTATGATTGACAAGGCCATCTCTTAAGTATCTCAATATCAAAAAAGGCCATCTCTCAGTCTCGTAATTTCAAAACAGGCCATCTCTAAGCATATTGAAAGTCCAACATATTGAATATTTCCTGAGAAAAATTTAGTCTCCAATTTACATTAAGATGGTGTGGTCAAGCTGAGATTCCCATTGGCACCAAAAATGAATTAAAAACAAACAAACTCATTGATAATGGTGACATGTTTAGACCCCGACGTAAGTGTGCCGGGGTTGATGATGACGTCAGCTGTTGGGGGCTGACCTCATCAACATAATAATAAAAAAAAAGACAATTTGAACTTGTAGGTGGGCGAAAACAGCCTTACTCCATGTTATTATTAGACTCATCAACAATTGTCAATACTGAAACATACTAAGACACAACCGCTCTTGAGATTATGAATAAATGAACAATCAAAATAATGTACAGTCAGTGTCTGCTTCACGTACACCAGGTTAACGCTCTGGAGGTCCAGTTAACGTCGAGATGTACGTTGGGCCGACATTAACTGTTTTTAAAACTGAATATAAGCACCTTTTTGTCCTTAAGGGAAATCAGCACTAAGATATTTCTTCAATAATGAAGCATAAAAATATTCTGGCATTTCACTGCCTAAAAACTGTGGTACGGAACCTTATATATTGCCACCGTTACATCAATGAGAACTTAATTACTGTATTTATACGCAGGTACACTTCGTAACCTTAATCAAAGGGGTTGCCGACATAACCAGTCCAGATGTGAGAGGTATAGCATATGTGCCTCCGTGTGCTGCTGTGCGGCTGGTCTGTGCTGTACTGTGCTGCACCGTACTGTACGGTACTGTACCGTACTGTGCTGCACTGTACTTTACTGGGGTAGGCGGCCTACGTCGGCACCCTTGGGACACAGGGAGCCACTGGCTGCTGGACCTTTGGACCACTGGTGCCAGCCAGGCGTTGAGCAAAGTCTGGTTGTCCACAAATGCACTGGATTGCGATGTACACTTATTGCCAGCATGGCGGCAGAACTTGAACACTGATTCCTTTGGAATGAAGTAAACATTATCTAGCCTATACTAAATGCTAAGAGCCAACCAAGACATTTATTATAGAGTCGAGGTCCTCAGTAGCTTCCAGTCTTTTAGAGGCTTCGGGAAAAGACTTGAGCACATCGTCGGCACTGAGCGACGGCAGCTTCCAGGGCGGCGCGTCGTCTGGCCTAGCATAATCCAGGTCCGAGCTGCCTTCGCCGCTCCAGTCGCCGTACTCATTATTGTTCATAGAGTCCAGGTCAGTCTGGGAGGACAGACTCAGTACCGAACACCAGTTGATAGCATCGGTTCTATCCTCGGGCGGTAGAGGTGGAGGTCGTGGGGTGGTGGGGGGCGGCGGGTCTTCGGGTTCTGCCCTGGTGTCCACCACACCTGAGGGTCCCTCACCTACATCATTATGGTGGGAGTTTGGAGGCAAACTCGGGTAAGGTCTCAGGTGAACAGTTTCTCTGCTGTCATATGCTGAAGAGTGTTCAGCAGGCAGATACTGTGCAGTAGGGTACTGCACAGTTGGTCCTGCTGTACTGTAGTGGTTAACAGGTGAGGGCGTGACAGGTGTGGACGGAGCCGGAGACACGGGTGCCGCCAGCGGGGATCCTACGAGAGGAGTGTGCATGGGTGGCAGAGGACCTTCTGAAGGTGGAGGAGATGATGGCGGGGAGGACGGCATGGGCTCTGGGCATGGCGGAGTTCCTGGGTTGGGTGTGGCCCCTTGTAGGTGAGAGTGAGCAGCGTGGGAGTGTGCCAAGATAGACGCTACACTCACACCTTCCGCCTCTAGCTCTCGCTCAATGTGTCTCAAGGTGTTACAGATGAGCACTGACCGGTGAAGGCTGGGGTCTGGGAATTGTCGAAATCTGTTCAATTTGTACATGGAAACATTGAGCACTGAGAGCCGCTGCTGGTGGTAGCAGGAGGGTCGCGCCCCCCCTCTGGTCGGGTCACAGTAAGGAGACAGACACCTGGGTGGACCACGAGAGGGAGGCAACGTACCCCGTGTCCCACCGTAACTATTTCCACCATACCCATAGGTGCAACCAGTGTCCCCCTCAAAGCCACCATAGTTATCACTGTTGGGGTAGACATTGTAAGGATTGGGACTATAACTTTGTCTAGAGTTATAGTAAGTGTTGGGTTGACCGTAAGAACTGGGACTGGTGTAGGTTTGATTGTACGACTGTGAAGGGTAACTGGAAGGGGAGGTGGTGTAGTTCCCACAGTCGCTGGAGTACGTGTGGGTGTAGGGGGAGGCGCTGCCCAGTTCCATATACGACTTGCCGTTCTCATCACACTGTATAGACTGACTGGTGCCGGCCTTGGTGGGTGAGATCTCCATGTACTTGTTGGTGTTGGGTTGTGAGCCGTCGTAGAAGTTGCAGCTCTCCCATGACGGAGTAGAGGGCCTGGAGGGGTAGGTGTCTGGCGGGTATGGGTAGGAATGGGGCTCATAGGTGGGTGAGGACAGCGCCCCCTGATAGGCGCTTGTCACTACTGTCGCCGTTTGAGCTGTCGTGACGGTAGTGATGCTGGCGTCACTAACCAGCGCCCCAGGTAGCCGCTCCTCGCTGGTGGTGGCGCCGCTACTGCTGGTGGTCGTGGTAGTGGTGGTAGTGGACATCGCAGACAAGAGGAAAGCCGTAGTGGTGGTGGTGGAGGACGTGGTGGTGGAGGGTGGTGGAGGAGATGGTGGTGACAACAACGGGGTGGTGGTGGTGGACGTGTGGATGGTTAACAACGACGTGGTCTCTGGAGCGAGAATCGTTGGTGGTGGAGATGACGGCGGCGACGAGGAGGAGGTGGAGGAGGGAGAAGTGTGAGTGAGTGTGTGGGAGGCCGAGGTGGACGTGTGGACGGCGAGTGGTGAGGCGGCGGTGAGGATGGTGACAGGTGACAGAGGACTGGTGGTATGGATGGTGACAGGAGAGGAGGTGAGAATAGTGGTGACCTGTGTTGAGGGAGAGATGGTGGAGGTTATACTCAAGGTGGAGGAGGTGGTGGAGGAGGAGGTGGTGGTGGTGGTGGAGGAGGAGGTGGTGGAGGAGGAGGTGGTGGAGGAGGAGGTGGAAGGAGGGAGCACCTGTGACAGAGACAATTGGAGGGATGTGGAGGCTGGAGTTGTGGTTGAGGAGGTGGTGGTGGAAGAGGAGGTGGAGGTGTCAGGACAGGTGGAGGAGGAATGATCACACGGCGCTCCTCTCCTCTCTACTTCCTCGTCAGAAGAATTATCTATTGAATTACTATCAATAAAACCTGAATCCTTGTCCTCCTCGTCATCAATAAAGTCCTCAGGTTCATCCATGGAGTCATCATCGTCATCGTCGGTGAAGGCGTGGTCGTCGTGGAGGGAAGGCCCGGAAGAGGAGGAGGAAGAAGAAGAAGAAGAAGTGTTGGTGTCCTCTTGAGTCACTTCAGTAGAGGTGCCATCGGCGTCATCACACACTGCCGCCGGATTTGTCAGCTCACACTCTTGGGCGGGCGTGGAAGCATGGGCGTGGGTGAGGGCGGGGTGGTGTAGCACGTCCTCAGCACAGAGGGCGTGGGGGGGCGAGGTACACATCACCTTGGCTGGTACCTCGTCAGTGCCATCGTCGCCACACCACCGCCGCTTGCCGCTAGCTCGAGGAAGCCCCATTGTCAAGTGCCCCTGTAAGAACAAAACACATTGTAACAACCAGCCACAACAACAACTTACAGGTAAAATAACAACTTACAGGTAAAATAACAACTTACAGGTAAAATAACAACTTACAGGTAAAATAACAACTTACAGGTAAAATAACAAAACTTACAGGTAAAATAACAACTTACAGGTAAAATAACAACTTACAGGTAAAATACAGCTGTATCCTGACGACTACAGCAAAACAATAAATAGTTACCTACACCTGATTTAATAATAATAAAAAAAATATTATTTGTTTGTAACTAATAAATACACGAAAAAACTATTGAGGTTCAACTTGAAGAAAAGGTTTTGATTATAAGTAACATTTAAGTGTGTTTACTTTACACTTTAGACTACTATTATTATTATCATAGTATTATCATTATTAGTAGTGGTGATCAAATTTCATACGTAGACTGTAGAAGAAAAGGCAAGAGGTATAATACAAGTTAAAAATGTGCAAGCATTAAAGCATTAATTTAAATAATATATAAAAACTGTAGAGAGGGAGGGAGGTGGGAGGGAGTAGGGAGGGAGGGAGTAGGGAGGGAGGGAGGTGGTGAGCGTGGCGGGAGGGAAGTAGGTAAAGAGGCCGGGCTCCACCGCCTCCCAACACACACACTGGCAACGACTTCGCCTTCACCAGTCACCACAACTTCTCCTTAAACCAACAATATACCAATATCTCACATTCTGTCTTCATCTTCTAATTAATTATTCCAATAATAACGGTTATGATAACCCAGTGATCGGTAGATGAGTTTTGGTTATATTAAAGTTAGACGCGACGGTTAGAACGAATGGCGGGAGCGAGGCGGCCGCGCTATCCTTGGTGGCTGGCTGGCTGGTTGGCTGGCTGGCTGGCTGGCTGACTGGCTGGCTGGCTGACTGGCGCAATTCAGACCCCGCACCCGACTAGCTGCCACGGCCCACACTACCATCTACCTCACACACACACACACACACACAACACACGCACAATTGCTTGAGTTACGCCTTCCAAGACTCTTTCTGGCGACGTTTTCTCTCATCACACCTTGTAAACAAGCCCCCCCCCCTCAAAAAAATACCCCCTCATATTATTACCGCATATTTAAGTAACTAATAGATGTAATTATCATAAAATAACATAAGAGGTGAGAGATAGTGAGGGAGAAGGGAGGAGAGGGGAAGGGAAGAGAAGGTGAGGGAGGGGGAGGAAGGGGAGGTGCGCAGTGGTAGCAAGACCCGGTAGTGAAACAGGGAGGGCAACCACCCAAGACTTCAATGCTCCCAGCCTATACAACAGTCTAGGCACCCAGCCCCGCGTCTCCTAGCACCCAGCGCCGTCTCCTAGCACCCAGCGCCCCGTCTCCCCTAGCACCCAGCGCCCCCGTCTCCCAGCACCCAGCGCCCCGTCTCCTAGCACCCAGCCCCGCGTCTCCTAGCACCCAGCGCTCCGTCTCCCAGCACCCAGCGCTCCCCGTCTCCCTGCACAGCCCGCGTCTCCCAGCACCCAGCCCGCGTCTCCTAGCACCCAAGCCCCGTCTCCTAGCACCCAGCCCCGCGTCTCCTAGCACCCAGCGCCCCGTCTCCTAGCACCCAGCGCCCCGTCTCCTAGCACCTCCCAGCACCCCCAGGTTACATCACGTGTTATATAGCCGCAGTCTTGCTAACTTAACCTAAACTAAAGAGATCTAACGAAGCTTTAACCTAACCTAACGAAGCTTTAATCTAACGAAGCTTTAACATAACGAAGCTTTAATATAACCTAACCCAATGTTGTCTAACCTAACCACTTGCGACACCAGTCCTAATAGGCCACGACCCTAATTAGATTAAGGTGGGAGCCTAATGGTCATGGGGCCCAATTGACCCACAGCCACTTTACATCTGCGAGTCTCGTGTGTGTGTGTGTGTGTGTGTGTGTAGGACTCTGGTAGATGGCGAGTCGTGTGTGTAGGGACTCCTGGTAGATGGCGAGTCGTGTGTGTGTAGGATTCCTGGTAGATGGTAAGTCGTGTGTGTAGGACTCCTGGTAGAGACTCCTGGTAGATGGTAAGTCGTGTGTGTGTAGGACTCCTGTAGATGGCGAGTCTGTGTAGGATTCCTGGTAGATGGTAAGTCGTGTGTGTGTGTGTGTGTGTGTAGGACTCCTGGTAGATGGCGAGTCGTGTGTGTGTTAGGTCGACGCTGAAGAAGGCCCACTAGAAGGTTCCTCCCTGACCTATACATGTTGTGTGCAGTGGTAGCTCCTGCAACGTGCGTGAGGGTGTGCGACGTAGGAATTACCGTCCCGGTGTGTGTGTGTGTGTGTGGAGGAGCCATAGTGGAGTTGCTAGGGGCGCTCTGGCCGAGAACTCCTGAAGGATCCTGTCTGGCTGGTTAGGACGCTCTCCTCCTGTAGCAACACACACACACACACACACACACACACACACACTCAGCGTAGAATCCGTACAGACTCTACAGAAACAAGCTGGTCTTTTAATAATGGATGAAATCTTGGATAATTTGGTAGGTGGAGGCGGTCATCACCCCCCCCCCAGCAGAGGACCTGGGTGTTCAACCTTGTACTCACACTTCTATCTCTCACCCGCCCTCACTATCTCTCACCGCCCCTCACCTCCCCCCACTATCTCTCACCCGCCTCACTATCTCACCGGCCCTCACTATCTCACCCTCCTCACTATCTCCTCACCGTCCCTCTACTCATCACTATCTCACCCGTCCCTCACTCCTCACCCGTCCCTCACTACTTCACCCGCCCCTCACTATCTTCACCCGCCTCACAGGTACGCCCCTGGGTGGTCTCTGTCACACCTGGTGCTAGACGGGCGGGGTAGGATGAGGAGGGGCGGGTGGATAAGGAGAGGCGAGACGGGGTGGAATGAGGAGCCGGGACAGAGTGGTGGGATGAGGAGGAAACGGGGGTGGGATGAGGAGCAGGGTAGGGTGGAGGAAGAACACAAGGGGTGAGGGTGGGGTGAGGAAATGTGGAGGGGTGGAGGGTAGGCAAGCGGGGGCACACACACACACACACACGACGTCCTCGCAACCTGCTGACGTGGGCTCAAAGACAGTGCTACCAATCACACCAACACTCACCCCCCTCTGGCCCCACCCCCCCCACACACAACACACCAAACACACTCAAGGAACAAACACACTGAAAGAAAACGAGAGGTGGAGAGAGAGAGAGAGGTGTGTGAGAGTTTACGGTAAGGTGAAAGCTCGACATACCCAGCTGAGAACACTGCAGGCTACACTCTACTGACAAAGGTGGTCAGGTTGGGTGTCTCTCCTAGTCCCCTAATTCAACTTTAATTTAACCTGGCTTTACCTAACTTAAGCTAAAACTAACTTGGGTTCACCTGAATTTAACCAATCCTAACCAAACTTAACGAAATCAAACCTAATCCAACCTCAACCAAGCTAATCAGACCCTTTTATCTAACCTGACCTAACCTAAACTAACCTGACCTAATCTAAACTAACCTGACCTAACCTAAACTAACCTGACCTAATCTAAACTAACCTGACCTAACCTAAACTAACCTGACCTAATCTAAACTAACCTGACCTAATCTAAACTAACCTGACCTAACCTAAACTAACCTGACCTAATCTAAACTAACCTAACCTAACCTAAACTCAACCTAACTTAAACTAACGTAACCTGACCTCAATTAACCCAAGCTGACCTAAACTAACCTGACATAAACTCACCCAACCTGACTTAAACTAACTCAACCTGAACTAAACTAAACAAGCCCAATTTTGTCTCCTAACTGGTGATGCTAAGTGAACGTAACTAGTTTAGTGTAAGAGTAATTCTGGTACAATTTTATAACGATTGTTTATTTTTGTATCTTACGTCAATCAGTTAGGTAACTAGAGTGTGACGTCACTAGCTAGGAGGGAAGGATATTTACCCAAGGAACCTTTGAGACTCGAAATCCAGGAAATAAGAATCTGGAGTGAGTAACCCGTTTTCTGTGGTGACCAAGAAGAGGAGGGGGGAGGTGAGGTGAGGGGGAGGTGGGGGAGGTGAGGTGAGGGGAGGAGGTGGGGGAGGTGAGGTGAGGGGGGAGACGAAAGTGTAGAAGCGTCCTGGTTCCCTCCCTGTCCACCTACATTACCCTCCCTACCTCCCTGTCCCTCCGTCTAAAACCCTTTCTCCCTCCTTCCGTTTACCCTACCTCCTCCCTCACCCTACCTCCGTCTAACCTACCTTCCCTCCTTTCCTCTACGCCCCTCCATCCTCCTCACATATTTTTCACGAAGGGGATTATTAGGTTCCCTCCCTCCCTCCCTCCATCCTTTCTTCCCTCCCTTCTCTCACCCATCCTTCCCTCCATCCCACCCTTTACCTACCAATCATCCCCTCCCTCTCCTCACTCACCCTCCCTCCCTTTCTCTCTCTCTCCTTCCCATCTCTCTAACGTCACCGTTTTCTTTGTCTGGGGAAACTCAAGTATTTCATACATAAACACATTAATACACAGACAACAACACAAGCATAACTGTTCACGTGTAATGTTTATATGTATAACTCATCTGCTATGTATTAAGTCAGTTGCTATGTATGATATGTATTCTTCAAGTGGTAAAGGAATGGTAAGCCCGGGACACACAGTATGGCAGGCCCGGGACAGACACAGTATGGCAGGCCCGGGACAGACACAGTATGGCAGGCTGGAGGCAGACACCGTGGCAGGGTGGACGGCGCCACTGTTACAGAAAATGGCAACAACCCTCCGAGGGGCAACTCATAAAAACAATATTAAGGGAGCGAGAACGTTTGGGCCTAACAGTTTCTCCTCAACTATTTAACAAAACTTTATTGAAAATTGTCCCTTAGTATTTGGGGCGTATTAACGCTCTCAGTAGACGATGATATTGTTAAATAATTACACTTAAAAGGTCGATAAACCTTGGCCAATGTTGTCTAAGTAGTGGCGCATTACCATGGCAACGAGGTAAATAGTGGTGTTTTCTAGTGGTGTGTGGCGCCTGCGTCACTCTCACGGAGCTGGCGAGCTTGGTCCACATTAACACCACACTTCTCCTCCTCTACACACTTACTAACCTTAACTACATTTTGAGCTACGTTAAGGTCCTTTTCCGACTGTGACATTTATCTGTAAGTAACTATGAATTAGATATATTCAAAATCGCTTTATTTGGAAGTGAGCCAGAGTTTAGGTGCCCGAGGGTGGTGAGGCAGTAAGAGCGAGTGTGTGGGGCGAGGCAGCCCGGCGGTGGCCTCTACTGCAGGCAGCAGCAGCGGCTCGCCTTGTGTAAGAGCGGCCCACAGCCTTCACCACCACCACCCTGCCTGCTTGCCTCTCTCTCTCCTACACCGCACACTCACTCCCTGCTGCCTCTCACTACCTCACCTACTAACACCTCTACTTAGACCATACATATATAAGACAGGAGCCCAAAATGAAGCTATGATGGAGAAGAAATAGGTTAGTCGTACCGTGAGGGACAGGGGCGGCTAATGCGTAGGTGTAGAGGCCGCCCACGCCCGCCTCAAGGACTGATGGCACTCATAGTGGGCGGAGCGGGCGGCGGAGGAGGCACTGGCAAGTTTTGCACACCTCACGCGGCTCTCCTCTCACCGTGACGTAACAGGTGGCTACACACACACACACACACAGCCATACTTGCCGCCGCGCCAACTTCAACCCCCAAGACTTGGTGAGGGAGGCAGGGAAGAGCCCCGACTGACAGTGACCACACACATGCTGCTGCCTGGCTGGCCTATCTCCGTACCACCTGTTGGCTCCAGTACACACCCACCACCCCCTCTCACTCACTCACACCTGCCTCAACACATCTGCCTTCCTTCACACACCTACACACATGTTGACCTCTATAACACCTGTTGGCCTGGAGGAAACAACAAATCTTTTCTAACACACACACACACACACACACACACACACACACACACACACTTCACTCCTCTCAACAAGTGCGTGAGAGGGAGATATTTGTGCAGTTATACTTAATGAAAGCCGAAAACCCGCGACTTCAAAAGAGGATATCCTGTAGTGTAGTAAAGCTCCGCCAGCCACCACTCATAATTATAACCTGTCAACTAACTCCATAACCCCAGTACAAACACGAAACGATACAGAGATAGATAGGTGGATAAAATGAGGGAATGGCAGAATGGATTAATTTTTCTTGTCGATTTTCTTTTGTTTTGATTCGTCTATATTTCTCGGTGGAGTGTTTTCTTGTTTTCCTCGCAGCTCTGTTTGCTAGACTTGGGTAGTAGCGCCCCCGCACCACCCAGCACCGCTACAGTAAACTCTCCCTTATTGCGCCTCTACCTAGTGCCTAGAGTCGTCTACCACCCGGATGTTTTGTCCGACTCACGTAGCAACCACCAACGCCGTTATTCCAATTTGGTCTGTGAGTCACCCGCGCGTGAGGGCTGAACTCGCGTCCCATTGGCTAACTTATTGTTCGACCAGTGATAGAAAGGCTCTGCGTCTGCGCCAAACTCCACAATTTTAGGTCTTGGCGCGCAGGGCAGCAAGGGTGAAAGTCCCTCCGCTCTACTGGTGGTCGGTGCCTGAGGGGACGCAACCCACCGCTGCCGCGGGATTTAGGTCTCTATGTGGCAGAGGCGGAAGGGTGTTATTGGGGTGTAGTCTGCCTTGAGTGGAGGGAGGGAGGGGCCACAGAGGGAGGATGGGAGGGGCCGAGGGAGGGAGAGAGGGACGGAGAGAGAGGGAGGGAGGGAAAGAGGGAGAACGAACGGTGACTGGCCGTGGTGAACTGAACCTCACAGGCAAAAACACCCTTCGGTACGGGACACACAAGGCCGGTAGTTGCCTGACTCTCCTCTCATATGTTAGTTGCTAGAGACTCGACTTCACCGTTGTAAATCCTATCGCGTCGTACATAGAATCGAGTTTGCTGTGCGTCGCTGTCAGACCCCAAAACTTGCTTCATCAGGGGCGGCGCGCGCGAGTTGAGTGTGAGGGTGAGGAGGCCGTAGTGGCGAGTCTCCTGTGCGAGGTTGTGGTATTTGCGGGTTGAACAGGCTCCGGCGAGGCCACGTTAGAGTCGAGAGTGTTCGTTCGTTCCTCTCTCGCAGCTGTGCACCAACTGGCTCCTCCAACCACCGCTGTCAATTTCTACCGGCGACGGACACATTTGTTCGGATGCGTGCACAGACCAGGAGGGATTTCAAAACACATCTTGAGAGGGAGAAACATTTCTACACACAAGTCTAACCTAACCTAACCTAACCTAACCTAACCTAACCACTAACCCCCCCCCCCTCCTCTACCCCCATACACCTTCCATATACCCACACCACTACCATAAACACAATACCATTAATTAAGATATTAATAAACCTAACTAACAAAACTCTTAAGGAAAATGGGTGTCCACATTTACATCAGGACGTAGGGGGGACTATATCATTAACAACCTACCATAGAAATCTGTCGCAGCCATCCCTCATGTAATCGATCCTTTGATAAGTAAGTAAAAAGTAACCAAAATCTTACTTACTTTAGCCGAACACTTATACACTTAATACACACTACAACCCTTACATTTTTCACTTAAGTACCTTTACTTACATTTACTTTACCGGACACATACACTTTATACACACTACAACCAAAACACTTTACACTTAATACCGCATCTTTGATAAGTAAGTTTAAAGCAACCAAACTCTTACTTACACTTACTTTACCGCACTCTTATACACTCACTACAACCCTTACACTTTACACTTATAACGCCTGTATAATGGGTATATTAATCTTTATATAACAATAATTGGTTAGGTTAGGTTTACTGTATATGGTTGCTAGTTTTGGTAAGTCTAAATACTGTCTTGTTCACTGAGGCTTTCTGAACTACTAGTAAGACATCCTGAACTACTAGCAGGGCCATCTTAGCTCCTAGTAAGACATCCTGAACTACTAGCAGGGCCATATGGAACAAGTAAAATATCCTGAACTACTAGCAGGGCCGTCTTAGCTCCTAGCAGGGCTTTCTTAGCTCCTAGCAGAACCATCTTAGCTCCTAGCAGGGCCATCTTAGCACACATTATTAACAGGCTCTAATTCCTAACGACACTTTACGATAATAGTATATTTCTAAGTGTTTGGCCTCTGAGAGAAAGGGGGGTGAAGGTGAGGGGGGGAGGGTAAGTGAGGGGAAATGATGGAGGGTGAGGAGAGGATGAGGGGAGACTAAGGAGGGGGGAGGTGAGGAGAGGGTGAGGGGAAACGAAGGAGGGTGAGACAGAGATAGAGGGAGGGAAGGAGTGTGTGTATGTGTGTCGAGGGAGGGAGAGAGTGAGGGGGGAAAGGGAGGGAGGGTGAGGAGGGTCCCTTAAGGTGAAGAGGGGAAAACTACGCTGAGGGGAGAAAAGACTCTAAGAGGGGTGACGAGAGAGGGGAGTTTGTGAGGGGTGAGGAGACGGTCTGTGACTGAACAAATGGACACCAATTTTACTAGAACCTAATCTAACCTAAACTTAAACACACACACACACACACACACACACACACACACACACACACACACACATTACCTCTTTGCTCTGAATACCAACACACAGGGAAGATGTGGGAGGAGTGTAGGTGACGACTGAGGGAGTGTAGGGATAGGGTGTAGGTGACAGGTGTGGGTGTAATTAACAGGTGTGGGTGTAGTTAACAGGTGGTGGTGTAGTTAACAGGTGTGGGTGTGAAGACAGTAACGTAAGAGGTGAAGGTGTAGCGAGGTTCATTTATCTTATCATATCAACAATGAGATAACAACACCGTCCAACACCTTGCTGAGTTCGACAGGTGTACCACCCCACTACCCTTACCTGTCCCTTCATTACCCCCCCCCACACACACCACACTCTTGCCCTCACTGCCCATAGCCTCCTAGGTGCCCCCATTCCCCAGCCTGTCACCATTGTCCCCTGCCTGTCCCTGCCTGTCACCCATTGCCCCAGCCTGTCACTCATTGCCCCCAGCCTGTCACTCATTGCCCCCAGCCTGTCACTCATTGCCCCCAGCCTGTCACTCATTGCCCCCAGCCTGTCACTCATTGCCCAACACGTTATCAACACCTCAGTCTGGCACACGTCATCCACTGGCATGTCAGGTATCAGTGTGATGTGAGGCGTCAGTGTCATGTGAGGTGTCAGTGTGATGTCATATGAGGTGTCAGTGTGATGTAAGGTGTCAGTGTGGTGTCATGTCAGGTGTCAGTGTGATGTCATGTGAGGTGTCTGTGTGATGTCATGTCAGGTGGACGGCCAAAGGTCATGACACCGAAAACAGATAATCTATTTTATCATGAATTAAACCACTAAAAGTCCCCGTAATCAACGCCAGGTATCGTAATTAGCACCAGGTATCGCAATCAACGCCAGGTAAACGTCAGGAACCAACTCGTGTACCGCCGTGTGTATCGGGGTGTGGACCAGGTGTGGCCCGCCGTGTGGACCAGGTGTGTAACGCCGTGTGGACCAGGTGTGTAACGTCGTGTGGACCAGGTGTGTACCGTTATGTGCACCATAAGAAGCGGAAATAATAATAATAATAATAATAATAATAATAATAATAATAATAATAATAATTATCTCTTTACGTCATCAAAACAACCACCAATAAACAAATATCTACCGAGTATGTAAACAAAGACTGTGATTGGTCAACGACGGGTCGATGACGTCACGAGAGGACAGCTGGGCCCGCTCCTGCCACCACGAACTGAAGTCTCCATACAGCAAGACTCTCGACCCTGGAGGCCTGAATGTACGACCAACCCGTTGCTGAAGGCTCCTGAAGCGAGTTAATATCTATCAAGTACTCTCTGATGGGGGGAGGAAATGTTTTAAAGAAGCGGGAAGACCAGGAGGAGGAAGCTTCACGCCGCGAACAGTGTCTCTCCAAAACGAAATGGAACGGAACGGAAAACCTTGGGAGAACTTGATGGCTGAACCTCGGGCAGGAAATACCACAGCGGCCCGCACTAGGTTCCCGGCCCACCCTTCTCTGCTACCCACCGGCCCACCCTCCTCTGCTACCCACCGGCCCACCCTCACCTCACCTCACCCACCTCTAACACCCCCTCCTACTCTCTGTCTCCTCACCTCTCACACATCCCTCCTCACAAACACACCCTACACACACGCCACAACCTCAACACACCCTACACCAACACACCCTCTCTCGCACCCTGTACGTACCCCACCTCCGCCTGCTGTCGCTCCCACCCAACCACCCTCTCTCTCTCCCAACCACCCTCTCACACACACACACACACACCACGACCCACACACACACACACACACACACACACACACACACACACACACACACACACACACACTACGACCCCTCCACATCCCTCACACTATCATCTGTCGCACCATCCCACACCCCTACCTGATGCCTCTCTCCGTAAGGTACAGGAGAGAGAGAAGAGAGAGAGAGAGAGACCACCTGGCCATGCCCCCATCCATATACAGACACCTTCACTGCACCTCCTTTCCTCCCTTCCACCTACCGCCCTCTCTCTCCTCCGACCCTTCTTTCCTTCCTCCGTCACTCCCTCTACCTCCGTCCCTCCCTTCCACCCTTTTTCCTCCTCCTTTCCAATTCTCTACGACCTCTTCCTCCTCCCTTCTCACCTCCTCCGACCTCCCTTCCACCCTCTTCTCCGACCTCTTCCCTTCCTCTCACCCTCCGACCCTCCCCTTTCACCCCCCTCCTGCCCCCTCTCTCTCTCTGCTCCATGCACGTACATTGTGTGCGCGCGTCTGCCCATATAACATCACTCACACACACACACACACACACACACACACACACACACACACACACACACACACACACACACACACACCAGGGAAACGTTTCTTCAGGAGGTCGTCAGGTGGGTGTCCGAGTTACCTGACGGAGAACCAGGTATGTTGAGGGAGGGAGGGAGGGAGGGAGGAGTATTAGCCAATATGCTCCCTCTGTGGACACAAACACATAGTGCGTCTGACTCACATCAAGGGGGACACTGTGTGGTGGTGAATGGTTAAGCTAATAGTAGTAGTAGTAGTAGAATGTTTAATAGTGGTGTGTGTGTGTGTGTGTGTGTGTGTGTGTAAATCTACGCTCACTATCTCAAATGTTCGTAAGGTACCGACAATACAATTTCGTTAAAACTGGGGCTTATTAGGACTGGGGGCCCATTTGACCTATAACTGCGTCACCTTAAGCCTCGATAAGTACATTAAAATATATTCAATTAACTCTACAGGTTCAGCGTAATTTGGCGGCCATCTTAGCCTCAATGTTTAAATTTGGCGGGCGATGAGGAGACGGGGAGTAGGAGGAGGGACGGGGAGCTGATGGCGCGCAGGAGGAGAAGCGGGAAGAGATGGTTACAGCGAGGAGAACAAGAGGAGGAAGAAGAAGAGGAGGAGGAGGAAGAGGAGGAGGAGAAGCTGGCGAGGGTCGGGGGCCCACTAAGTATAGCCCTGGCGCCGGCACCTCTGTCGCCAAACTGGTGCTGAGGTGCCCGCCCGCCTGCCTGACGCCGCTCTCCTACCACCACTACTACCACCATTTCCACCACTACCACCATCCTCCCCTTCCCCGCCACTGCTACCACCATTTCCCCCACTGCTACCACCATTTCCCCCATTCCCATCACTACTACAACCATTTTAACCCACTGCTACCACCATTTCCCCCATTCCCATCACTACTACAACCATTTTACCCCACTGCTACCACCATTTTACCCCACTGCTACCACCATTTCCCCCCATTCCCATCACTGCTACCACCATTTCCACCACTGCTACTTCCATTTCCCCCATTCCCACCACTGCTACTTCCATTTCCCCCCATTCCCACCACTGCTACCACCATTCAAACCACTACCACCATTCCCACCATTCTCAATATTATTACCACCAGTGCTACCATCATCGACACCACGACTACCACCATCGACACCACCTCCACCACGACTACCACCATCGGCACCACCTCCACCACGACTACCACCATCGGCACCACCTCCACCACGACTACCACCATCGGCACCACCTCCACCACGACTACCACCACCTCCACCACGACTACCACCATCGACACCCTTACTCCCACAGATCATTTAAACAATAGGCCTATGAAGACTACGCCCCAGTATCAATGGTTTGGTTTGGTAGCCTACAAGAACTGGGGTCCGATTACGTCTATTACAT